ACAAGTCATACATATGTACAAAGTAAAACACTTCTGAAAAAACAGGCCACGTTTATTGAGATATCTAAATAGAGAACATGGTGCCTTGCTGTGAAGGGTAATTCATATTTCAAAACAGAAGCCTAAATATATCAGCCTTTCAAAATACTGTCCAGCAGTTGAGCTAGTTTCTTTGATGTATGGCAGGCTCTCTTGAAACACAAAGGAATTAAGGTGGAACTGCGTCAACAAGTGGTATTTCCCTTAGCAGTTAATACACTATTAAAGAGCAAAATTTGGGAGGGAGTACAAAATTGTTTTTTGCCTTTTTTTTTTTTTTTTGCTTTAGAAATAAAACCAGAAAAGTACTTTTAGAATAAAAGAACTGTAAACGAGTGAATTAAAATACTTCACGGTATCCGAAATTGAACTTACCCGCCAGGCCCTTTGCGCTACTCGACGACACCGCTCCGTGAGCGGGCACGGGAGCTGCTCTGGACTCCTCCGCGGTTACGGATGTTAAACTACCGGTTTCAGCTTCCATTGCAACATCCTTCCCACCCCTCCGCTTTATGGTGCCTGTGTCACCTTCCGAGTCCTCTCCCCAGTAGCCTGTGGAGGATGCCCAGCTCGCTCTGGACTGTGCTTGATCGAGGCCCTCCCTACCTTGGCTCGGCCTGCCATACTTTGTGCCGTGCTCGGGGAACATGAGCTGCTCCACGTGGCTGCCCGGGGCCCACAGGGCGGCCCCGTCGCCCGCGCTATCGAAATGGCCGTGTCCAAAGGGCAGCGTCTCCCAGCTCCTCTGGTGCTGGATGGTCTGGATGTTGTCGTGGGAGCCGCTCGAGCAAGAAGTCCAGCTGCCGCGGCCGCTGTCGGCGGCGTCCAGGGAGGCTCTGTCCCCCTGGTCCTGCGAGAGCTCCTCCGTGCTCGGCGACGAGAGCACCGTGGCTCCGGCGTAGAGGCCTCTGCTCTCCGACAGCGGCGCGTACGAGCTACAGGCACACGGGAGAGGGGGGAAAACGCGGCGTTGACACCAGAGATCGCTTGGGAAACAGCAAGAATGAGACAGCCAGGGGACCAGCTCGCATAAAGACGTTTTGGATGCAATTTCCAGTACTATTGGCATCAATGACTGATTCCATTTTGAGTATAAAATGCTTGCATTTCAGGACTATCCATTACAAAATTTTAAAAAGTAATTACTGGATATTCTGATAAAGCTTAACATTTCTGGGAATTTAGCTTACAAGGTAAGACCACAGTTTTGAAGCTTCCCATCCAGCACACGGCACTGAGAAGCTGTACATTAGTATCGTGGAATACTCTTAAGAGTGGCCAGGCAGATCAGCAGGTCTCCTCTCAAGCTTCTCCAGACACAGGCAAGCAGAAAAATCAAAAACTTGGAATTGAGCTTTAAAAGGCAGTAGCTGAAATTCAGAATTGGCAGTTCCGGCTTCTGCTTTTTGGATCTTTTCAGCTTAGGGAATTCTGAGCCCAAATGTGCAAGAATTCTTTGCGAACGGAAGTTTATCAGACAATTACTTTTAGAAACACACATGCTACTTCCAAATACAAACCCTTTCAGCTACTGCGTGAGCCTGACAATTGTCAGTTACACAGAAGCTCTGGGTCTGACACTGAGGACATCTCACTGAAGGGTTTGCAACGCCTGGAATCCCCAGGTTCTCAAGTGTCTGGAGCAGTTTTGGAACAGGCCTAGCATCCCTCAAGATTAAAAGGTTACAACCATCCAGGGAGCTGAAGCTTCCAAACATCATCTCTGAGAAGCAAGCAGAGACTAAGTTACAATTATTTTCAGGCTGGAGCTCCAATTATTTTCAGGCCAAGGCTCAGCGCTACAGATCTGGAGAACTCTTGACAGCACTAGCTTCCTCACCATTATAAAAATTAATTACCTAGAAAATTACCCAGAAAAGCGGCAGCCCTAATGTGAATTTTATTTTTCAATTATTTAAACTTTTTTGACTAGGAGAGCCATGTGGGATACGTGGGAGTTAGAGGCACACTTTTCTGAGAAAACAAGATTTCTCTTCTCAGCTTGATCACCGAGCAACTCGATGACAACATATGCACACAACTGGCTAACTCAGCTGGAATACTGGCTGGCCACATGGAGAGGATAATCTACAGCACCACTGAATACCTGGAAAATAAAGAGCAGTAAGCAAATGCTTATTGCAACTGCTGAAGGTGTACTGGGGAGCACGTAACATTTTCTGGTGAGAAAATAGAACATTGTCCTGAGATTCAACATTCACATAGTGTTTTCAACACTATGGGAGAAGGTGAAATATTTGTGACAGATATAGGAAAGGTCATATAAAAAATACACAGAAGACATCAGCATGCTATGTGAAAGCATAATTTAAAGATATATATATATAAAATTCCTACCCTAAGCTGTATTGATCTGGTTCAATCATGATTCTTCTGTCAATCCTCCCCACGCCAAGATTGGTCTCCACGATGCTGACAGAGTGTCTCTGCCTCCTCTCGTCATGCAGGGAGACTGGCATGGAGTCAAACGAGGAATTGCTGACAATACTGGATCTGGAAGAAATCTCACTGTGGCCAGAGTCGGAAAAGTTATCCACCGTGCCGCTGGGAGCCAGGGTATAGCCTGTGTGAGGAACAGCACACGTCACCCAGAGCACCCGAGACACCCGCTCAGCATTGATATCCCTGCCTCATGAAATCTCATTTCAAAATGAGAAATCTCTTCCAACCTTTGAAATCTCATTTCAAAACCAGCCTGTACGTAAACACTGGCACGAGGGCTGGAACAAACGAACGCAGCGGATGAGCCTAATGCTTCAAGCAATCCATGAGAGCCTCTCACCTGGGCCTCCTGCCTGGCAGAGCTGCACTTCAGCCATGAAGAGCAGCAAGGAGCACAGATGTCTGGGCTGCCTCGCTGCTCATTACTGATCTTGGCTGGGAGAGCACCTGAAGGGTTTGCAGGAAGTCCCAGGAGAAAACTCAAGATTTTAATGTTTTCCTTGTGGCATTATATTTCAAAAGAAAATATTCTATAGCTATTCCATTACTAGAATTATACAGTCATTTGGAGGCAGCACAGCTACTGCCAGACAGATAACATCTGCAAACCATGAAATGCCACAAGGGCAAATTCAGCTTTTATTTTAAAAAGATGTACTGAATCCTCTGATCAGTTGAGTTGAAGTCCATTAAATAAACATTTACATGCCACAACATTTTTCATTTTTGGCTTTCAGTCTGTATTTAAGACTTGAAAGACTTCAACTGATTTATCTTAACTCACACTTGCTGAGAATGTGGGATTAATTCTGCCAGATTTGACTGAAAGTAAAGAATATACCATTAGCCTCATGTTGCCATCAACCTCAGGATTCCTGTTTTTTTTTTTTAATGTAGAACCATGCTGTAGAACCATTTCTTCTTTTCAAGCACACAGTACTCTCCCACTGTTAGCCAAGCATAAAATCCCATTTCCTTTCCCAAGAAATGCACAGACCTGACCAAATTTATGTAAATTTACTCTTTTCTAATAAAGTATTTGCAAAAAATTATGCTGAGATCTTACAAGGTGATAACTTTAATCTTCTCCACATAGTATCCTGTTCCTTCTGACCTTAGCAAAGATCACTGCAACAGAAATTCTGGATATGCATCTGGATTCTCTTGGCATAGCCAACTCTCTAATCTCTGCTTACCCAACTAGACTCTCCTCCCCACACTTTTGGTTCTCTAAACCCTATTTATGCCACGATGAAGTTTTATTCTTGCAACTCTTCTCCCTTTGGGGAGACAAAGGGAGGAACTGGTTATTCCACTAGTCTGGAGCTTTAAGATCCCAGCTGACTGGCACTGTCACCTACCAGGGTAAGAAAAGGGTTGAGCCTCCTTGATAAGGGCTATAAACTAGGGGATGAAAGTGCTTATCTTGATAAGAATTGTCCCCAGGTAAGTTTTAATTCTCTACTATCCCTGGGCAATTTTTCTTTTAGTTACAGACTCCAACATTAACTTCCTTCAGAGTTCTGCACTGTGGGGCTCAATTTCAACACAGGTGTTTTAATAAAACGTTACATTCTGTAGCGATTAAACTTGATTTTATTATTAAGACTTCACAATATTCTGAAAAGAGAATAATCTAGAGGTTATCTGCAACAATGCTATCAAATATCCAAAGGGATTGCTTTGCTCAAACTCCATGTGAATGCCTGCATTCTCTTTTTTCTTCAGTTCATAAGCAGAACAAGCACAATGAAAAGGCAGGCAGGTAAAAATACGAAATTCCCTTTCAAGGTCCTGGATTCACTTAAAAAAAATACGAAACTATTTAAAATTAACTCCATTGTGCTTTGGGCCCATTTCTCAAATACCCACAAATGCTGCTTGAATAATTATGCTGCTAGGAAAATGCTGTTTATTTGTTAATTTGCATCCGGAATGCCTCGACCCTGCCTTTCACACAGGTCACATCTCATCCAGAGGGATGACACAGCAAATAATCCCTCTAACAGGGCTATGTGCTCAGTGCTGCATGTTCAATTGCCATCTGCACGTGATGCCACTGGCAGAGGACACTTGTGCTGGGGACACTTCATCTGAGGCAGCAGCAATGAGCGTGGCCTAATGCACTATGGTTTCAGGTCACCTTCCTGCCCTGAGCTGAGAGGAGGCCTCTCAGGTCTTCCCCTAATGCATCATCTCCTGCTCTCTTGCTGATCCCGTGTAACAAAGATAAGAGCAGGGGCATTTCATCCTGGACTTCTTAAAAAATCCGGAAACTCACAGACTTTGGAAAACAGAATGAGAAACGTTGCATGCTCTTGTCTGATACCTTTCCTTGGAGAACTCTGTGGGGAAGTGGGAGGAGAAGACAGCTGGGAAGATGCACTGGATATCGTGTCGTCAGATTGTTTCTTGTGACGGTCCAAGCTTCCTTCTTCGGATAATGAAAGAATTTTCTTTAAAGCTTGTGGAGAGTTAATGCCTTTAAGTAAGAACAAACGTAGGCAGATATAAAATCTGAGATAAATATACCCTTGAATTTCACAATACATTTACAGAGGGGACACCGTACGGGGAAAACAAAGAAACAATCTCTCCTATAATTTTCATTTATGAGCTTCCACAACTAGCTTAAATAAGATGAGAATTTTAAATCTACTTCTATTTAAAATATAGCCCATTTTTTCTGCATTTTTGTCCAGCCAGTCTTTCATTTTGGCCACCTAAAAGAAACATTTTATCTTAGAAAGCATAATCTAGAAATTGTGTTTCAGAGTACTGTGTTTCCAGATCTATAACCAAGATATATACAGCTAGCATGAACTTGAACTAAAATAGTGAGGATACACAGTGTTTCCAGATCTATAACCAAGATATATGCAGTAATGGCCAGCATTAACTTGAACTAAAATAGTGAGAATACACACGGGCCCTCACTGGGTTAGTGCAGATTCACACAGTTAAAACCCAAACTGTCCTTCCTGTTCTTCCTCTATTCACAGAACAGTTCGAAAGGTCAAAGAAAGCTGGGAAACAAGACGGGTCAGACTAGGCTTAAAAAACGAGGTCCTCCTCTTGCCTCTTCCTAACGCTCCTGAGAACCATCTCTGCATCAGCCTCTTTTGGGAGGCTGAACAGTAACAAGAGCCTGAGAATGATTCGTGGTGTAAAGATGTAGGGCAGAGAGAGTGGCTTTTCTGAGACAGAAGATTTGTCCACCCCTAGAAATGAAACCAAAATTTTGAGACAGTTCTGCTTAAAAATGAAGATGGAGCTTCTCAGGCAGCTTTGCACTATTTATTTATTTATTGTGGTAGAGGCTATTTTCAAGTATTCTTAACGCAATGTTGAAAACAATAATTTAGAGCTGTTTTATCAACATAACCTAGCCACATTTTCAGAACCTGTCCTACCTGTGAGCAAAAATGTAGACTTTCAAACTATTAAAATAAAAATTAGTGGCAGAATCAACGAGAACTAGGCAAATATTCAATTGTTTCTTGCTTGTTTGCTACTTCTAATTCCCCTCTACAAGTCCAAGCAGTAAGTGGAACTAATCAGTGAAATAAGAATTAAGCTATCGTGAAATTACTATCACGTAAGGGGAAGGGTCGGTTACCCGGCTTCTACCTCCTGAGAATTTTGGAGTACTTGTAATGATCTGTAAAAATGTCTTAATTGTGCATTTGGTTATGTATACAGCTCAGATCTAGATTAGGAA